CATTGCTTGCTCTTGTCACTATTGTCAAAATTCAGAATATGTTTGATGACTATATTTCAATATAATTGATTTCATTTGAAATCCTTTATATTTTATTTTATGCATTTTTAATTCTGAGAAGGGGCCAGTAGGTTTTGTCAGACACCACAGAATTCAGAGCACAAAAAGTTTAGAACTTTTTGGTAGGAGTCGTGGATGGATTGGCTGGGTTGGGGAGAGGAAGGGAAGAGGGAATCAAGGGTGACCCCAAGTGCTGGGCCGAGTAATGCGGATGGGGGTGTGGTTAAGTTTTTCCTTTGGACGCCTCTCCAGGAGACCACACTGCAAATTGGGATTCATTTATCCCCCCTCCTTTTCCTCTCCCTGCTGATTCAGAAAGAAATCTGGAGACACCTCTCTTTCAGGCTTTTGGGGAGAAAAGGGGATTTTCACTGAGTGTGACGCTCAGGAGAGACAGGAGTTAACAAATATTTTAATCAACAAGCTAAGAGGGGCCGGCCCCGTGGCTGAGTGGTTAAGTTCACGTGCTCCGCTTCAGCGGCCCAGGGTTTCGCTGGTTCGGATCCTGGGCGTGGGCATGGCACCGCTCGTCAGGCCATGCTGAGGCAGCGTCCCACATAGCACAACCAGAGACACTCATAACTAGAATATACAACTATGTACCGGCGGGCTTTCGGGAGTAGAAAAAGAAAAAGGAAAAAAATAACAAGAAAAAGAAGATTGGCAACAGATGTTAGTCAACAGGTGCCAATCTTTAAAACAAAGAAACAAAAAAACAAGCTAAGGGTTATAGGAAATCAGAAAAATGCTAGCAATAAGACTTATTTCTGGTCTTATTCATTTGATTAAATTCAGTGGGTATTTAATGGGGGCTTACCAGGCCCTTTTAAGAGTTAGGGAGACATGAAAATAAGACATGGCCTCCGCCTTCTCGAGTTTCAGTCTAGCAAAGGAAAAATATAATAAGCAAATGGAACACACTGTGAGAAATGCAGTATAGAGCAGGCTGTGTTCAGTCTTGTGGGGCTTGAAGTTTATACAATTTGCAGAGCCTTTTAGGAAAAAGAAGACAAAATTATGAGATCAAAATTAGGTATGGAGTCTTGAAAGGGTCCACTGTAAATGGGAGGTCTGAAGGCCAAGCTTCACTCACTGCAGGGTCAGTCTATGTGCAGGGGGAGACAGCCATGAGAGTTTGTATTGGGCAGGGGGAGGCAGATTGGACACGGTTTCAAAGGACAGAGCATTAGGACTTCAAACCCCTTAAGCTGTGTTCTTAGATGATTAGCAGCCAGAGTGAGAAAGGTTAGAGGTCAGGAGCATCTGGGCACTCCGTCCACCTTCCAAAGCATGTAGAGAAAGCAGAGGCCTTTGCAGGGGGACAGGGAACAGCCCTGAACTGATGCAAGACGAATAGTTGGAAAAGCATGGATGCTGAGCCAAAGTGACTGTTCAACTGCGTGGGTGGGGGGCAGAACACCTGGATATTTCTTTCTTTCTTTATTTGGACTAGGTAAATGTCCAAAATTCAAGAGGTGTGGAAAGATTTACAGTATTGTCAATTTCTGATACAGTTTTCTGGATATAATCTATGCATACCCAAGCAGATACCTAGATATAATTTTTTAAAACACAAACAGTAGCACATTATGCCCACTGTTCTGCCTCTTGAGCTTTCCACTCAACAGGGCATCCTGGAGATTGTTCCATGTCAGGACACAAAGAGCATCTACATTCTTTTTGATGACTGCATACTATCCCATCATATATATCTTCCCTAATTCATTCACCCATCCCCTAATGCTGCATGCTCAGCTTGTTTCCACTCTTTTGCTAAAACACCACTTGCTGCTGGGAATATCCTTCTAGAGAGGTCATTTTGCACAAGTGTGAATATATCCCTAAGATAAATTCTTAGAAATGGAATGGCTGAGTCAGTTTATGTGCATTTGCAATTTTGATAGATATTGCCAAATTCCTCTCTCGCCAGCAGTGTGCAAGAGTGTTTGTTTCCCCACGTGCCCCAACATAGTGTGTCACACACTATTATCTTTGTCAATCTGATAGGTCAAAATTGTGTCTCAGTGCAGTTATAGCTGTGTTTATCTTACTGTGAGTGAAACTGAATGTTTTTTCATTCACAGCTGTTTGTATTTCCTCTGCTAGGAAGTCACCACACCTATCTCTTGGGTCATTAGGGTTTTTTTCCTTATTGATTTGTAATCGCTCTTTATATATTGGAGAAATGAGCCCTTTGTGTTGATTTGTTTATATTTTCCCCCAGTTTGTTCATTTCCTGGGATATTAAATTGGTCTTTGAAATAATAATAGCATTGGGAGGAATTGAGGGGCATGTTTCATCTCCCCCAATTTCCCAGAAGGAAAAATATTGTAACTGTAAGTAGCATAACTTTCGACTCTACATAAAACTTGCTAAGTGAATTATGAAGCATCAGTTTTGGTTCATTCAACAAATATATGCAGAGCATCTACTGGGTGCTAGATATTCTTCTAGGTGCTGAGATTACAATGGTGACCAAAACTGCCAAAATCAAGCTCCCGTGGAGCTGATGCACTGTTAAAGAGTAAACAGAAAGAGAGGTACTTTGAGATGGTGATAAGTCTTATGAAGGAGGTGAAATGGAGGTGACAAAGGGAGGTGTGGCGGTGGGCTGGTTTAGATTAGATGATCAGGGAGGGCATCTCTGAAGAAGTGACTTTGTGTTAGGACCTGAGTGACAAGAAGGACCTAGGCAGGAGTGTAAGAACTAGAACTGCCTGGGAGAGGGAACAGTGCATGTAAAGGCCCTGAGGTAGGAGTTGAAGTCAGAAAGACTAGCACAGGCCTCAGTATAAAGGGCCTTAGAGGCCAGGTGAGGAGTCCTGATTGTATTGTTGTGGGCTACAAGAAGCCATTGGAGTGTTTGTGTGTAAGGAGGGTTTACTTTTTGTTTTAGAAATGTTCAAACCTAAAAATAGAGGGAATGATGTAAGGAACCGCTTGTACCTTCATCCAGCTCAGTAGATAGCAGCATTTTGCCAATCCGGTTTCATCTCTACTCCTCACTTTTTTTGGTGAGGGGGCTGGTGTTTTTCTCTCCCTCTTTCCCTGCCTCATTCCCTTTTAAAAAGTAGTCTTTTTGTTGAAATATAACAAATACGTAAAAGGGCCCAAATCATAAGTATATGGCTCAATGATACTCACAAACTGAGCACACTCATGTAACTGGCATCCGGATCAAGAAACTGAATATGGCCAGCTCCCCAGAAGCCCCCGGGACCCCTTCCAGTCTCCACCTCCCAAATTTTTAACATGCGATTGGAACATAAAAGGGATCACACAGGATGTCTCTATTGTGACCAGCTTCTCTCACTTGTGATGTTGAGAAGTCTATATTGTGTGTCATTGTAGATTGTAGAGTGCTAATTCTCATTGCTCTGGCATTCCACTGAATCACAGTTTATTCAACTGTGGATGCGTACTTGGACTACCTTCAGGTTTTACCAGTGGTTCTGCTGGGAACATTCTGGTACATGTCTTTTGGTGAATACGTGTAGGCACACATGGTGGCTTATATCCACCATATTCCACCATGTGGAATCACTGGTCATAAGACAGGTGTATGCTCAACTTTAGTAAATAGGCCTATATTTGTTTGCTAGAGCTGCCAAACAAAGAACTACAAAATGGATGTCTTTTTTTTGTTTGTTTGGTGAGGAAGATTGGCCCTGAGCTAACATCTGTTGCCAGTCTTCCCCTTTATTTTTCCTCCCCAAAGCTCTGGTACGTAGTTGTATATCCTAGTTGTAGGTCATTCTAGTTCTTTTATGTGGGATGCCACCTCAGCATGGCTTGATGAGTGGTGTGTAAGTCCACACCCAGGATCTGAACCGGCGAACCCTGGGCCACCGAAGCAGAGCATGCAAACTTAACCACTCAGCCACAGGGCCAGCCCCAAACTGGGTGTCTTAAACAACAGAAATTTATTATCTCACAGTTCTGGAGGCTACAAGTCAGAAACCTAGGTGTTGGCAGGGTTGATGCTTTCTGAGGGCTGGGAGGGAAGGATCTGTTTCAGGCCTCTCTCCTTGGCTTGTGGATAGCCGTCTTCTCCCCGTGTCTCTTCACACCATCTTCCCTCTGTGCACATTTGTCTCTGTGTCCGAATTTCCCCTTATTATATGGATACCAGTCATATTGGATTAGGGCCCATCCTAATGACCTCAGTTTAACTTGATCATCTGCAAAGACCCTATTTCCAAATAAGGTCTCACTTTGGGGTTTTGGGGGTTAGGATCCCAACATATCTTTTTAGGGGGGAACATAATTCAACCCATAACTGTCCCAAAGAGTTTCCCAAAGTGGTTGTACCAATTTACTCACCCACTAAGTGCTGGAGTATTTTAAAGCTAATTCCAGACATGATATTGTTTGCCTTGGGAGTATTTGAAAAGAAAGGAAGACTTGGTCTGATTTACATTTTTAAACAATTCTATTTGTTCTGTGGGAATGTAAGACAAAGCAAACATTTCATCAAGAAAGAAAAGGTAGGGTGGGGCTGGTGGTGTAGTGGTTAAGTTCATGTGCTCTGCTTTGGCGGCCCAGGGTTCGTGAGTTGAGATCCCAGGTGTAGACCTACACACTACTCATCAAGCCACGCTGTGGCAGCATCCCACATACAAAATATAGAGGAAGATTGGCACAGAAGTTAGCTCAGTGCCAATGTTCCTCACCAAAAAAAAAAAGAAAGAAAGAAAGAAAGAAAAGGTAGTAAAGAGTGAACCCTCTAGATGGCCCAGGGAGGACTCTCTGCTACCCTGAAGTTGGCAGAAGCTTCCTGGGGACCCTTAGTTCAGGGATGCCGTTCAGAGATCATGTTCCATCTCTCGCTGCACGGTGCCAGGCTGCCCAGAGGAGCACCCCCCAGGGTCCAGGTGAGGCAAAGGGAGCAGCGGGGCCAGGACTCAGGCTGTCTTCTGTCCACCCACCTCCCTGCTAGGACATACAGCAGCTCCTCCAGCTCCAGCAGCTGGTGCTTGTGCCGGGTCACCACCTCCAGCCACCTGCTCAGTTCCTGCTGCCACAGGCCCAGCAGAGTCAGCCAGGTAAGGCCCCCACCCTGGATGGCCTCCTTGATGTTGCTACAGAACTCCCCTTCCCCCCCTCATCCCACGCATTCCCGCTTGTCTCTCTAGGCCTGCTACCGACGCCAAATCTATTCCAGCTACCTCAGCAAACCCAGGGAGCTCTTCTGACCTCCCAGCCCCGAGCCGGGCTGCCCACACAGGTGAGAGGGTCCCCCAAGTGTGCCAGGCTAGGCCCGCAGCAGGGCCTGCAGCAGGCTGGGTGAATGGGGTGGCGGGTTAGGATCTCCTCTCCATTTGGCCCATCCCACAACCACAGGGGCCAGGAGAGGAGTCAAGACCTGGAGCCCAGCCCTGCTCTAACACTAATTTGCTGTGGGACCTTAGGCAAGCCACTCTCCCTGCCCAGGTCAGCTTCTTCCTCTATAGAATGAGAGGAGTTAACCAGACTAGGGGCTCTTAACACTTTCAGGTACAAGGACTTCTTTGAGAATCTGACGAAAGACTTGGATCTGACCCCCACTGCCCCAAAATGCACATATATACAAAACACAAAAAGCCTATAGGTTATGAATACCTTGGGTCTCTTCCAGCACTCCAAATGGAGGGTTCTCTGAGGAAGGCCTCTATAGGGTACTAATTCACATCCCCTTCCCAGACCAGACACTGAAAACGGGGGGGCCACAGATGTGTTTTATTTGGCCCATACCATATTTTTTAAGTTGAATTAGTTGTCAACAAAATTCCCAGGAAACTCCAGATTCCCAGCTTCTTTTGACAAACTGGAAGCTCTGGCAAGGCTGGATTTGTGTCCACATGGCATGGCGGCAGTGGGCAGCTGGCTGCTGGCCAGAGCAGGGGCCCCCTCCAGGAGGGCGTGAGCTCTCCAGGTCTCCTAGGTGTCCTCCTGCCTGGCCCCCATGGCCTTTCTTTCAGTTTGCTGTTTGGATTCTAGACTTTAATAATAATCTTGCACTATCCTTTACAGATTCCAGAGTTCCCTCCTACCCATTTATTTAGCAGTCCTTTCAAAAACTATATGAACTACTAAGAAAACCCAAAAAGTTTAGCTGCTTAGCTGCAATCCTGAAATCCAAAAATGCTCAGAAAATCAAGTTGTTCTTGTAATGTGGGCATCAGAAGTCATTTGGCTGCAAAGCCTGTCTTGACCTGATGCAAGGCAGCATATGTCTTTTCTTTATCCCTCTTGTGTGATATTCGTGCTTTCTTGAGAGCTGTTAATATGTCCAATTATGGGGTAATGCTTTGACCCTGATGGGGGGGGTCACACTAGCTATGATATATGCCCCATGTAGGCTTTCTAAAATCTGCAAAATTTCTGACTTCCAAAACACATCTGGCCTGGGTTTTGGATAATGGATCAAGGATTTGTGTGACCAACATCCTCACAGACACCACCAGCTTCAGAGCTTTTATTTTTAGGAAAATGAAGCATTCCAGAGAGAGCTGTTGTTTCTTTGTAAATCCCCCCAGTCGCCCTCCCATCTGTTTTTAAAAATATTTTTACTTTATTTGCAACCTACTCATTTTTAACCCAATTCTCCCAACAACCCTATGGAGTAGGCAGAGCTGCCATGATTGTTCCCATCCTGCAGAGGGAGAACTGAGGCCCAGAGAGATTAAGAAACTTGCCAGGGTCACTGAGCAATTTGGTGTTAGAGCCAGTCCTTGATTCCCAGCCTGAGAGGAGGATAAAACCACCACCCCCAACTCCAGAGAGAGCCCTTGGCAAAACGAGCTGGCTGCTCCTTCTGGGAGTTTGCAGGCTGGGAGGGAATGTGCGGAGAGTCCCAGGCAGCGACAGGACCCTTGTGGGGCAGCAGTGTCACCTTGATGGAAATTGCCAGTGTGGAGGGGCCTCCAAGGGGGAAGGTGGAGGGGAGTCTGAAGGAAGGGGCTGGACGGCAGGGAGGGAGGAAGGCAGGGGGAACTTCGCAGCCATTACTGAGTCCCATCCTGGTCCTCGGTCCTGCATCCCACCCACCTGCCCACTCCACACTCCACCAGGCCGTGACCCGCCCCACGCTGCCCGATCCGCACCTCTCGCACCCGCAGCCCCCGAAATGCTTGGAGCCACCATCCCACCCCGAGGAGCCCAGTGACCTGGAGGAGCTGGAGCAGTTCGCCCGCACCTTCAAGCAACGCCGCATCAAGCTCGGCTTCACGCAGGTCAGGTTTGGGGCCAGCCCGCAGGATGGGCGGTGGGCTTAGGGGTGACGGGGCGTGACTATTTGGTGGGCAGGGCGGGGGCATAGCTGTCTAGTGGGCGGGGTGAGGGCGTGACCAGCTGTGGGAAGGGCGGGGCATAGCCATCTAGTGGGTGGGGTTTGGGGGCGTGGCCAGCTGGTGGGCGAGGTGAGCGCGGCGCACAGAGGCTGGGTCCTGACCGCCCGCCCCATCCTCACCCCCTGGTCCAGGGTGACGTAGGCCTGGCCATGGGCAAGCTCTACGGCAACGACTTCAGCCAGACGACCATCTCCCGCTTCGAGGCCCTCAACTTGAGCTTCAAGAACATGTGCAAACTCAAGCCCCTCCTGGAGAAGTGGCTCAACGACGCAGGTGGGACTGGGCTCTGGCGGGCGACGGGCGGCGGGCGAGGGAGGCGCCCTCTCATGCTCCGTCTCCTCCCGGCACAGAGACTATGTCTGTGGACTCAAGCCTGCCCAGCCCCAACCAGCTGAGCAGCCCCAGCCTGGGTTTCGACGGGCTCCCGGGCAGGAGACGCAAGAAGAGGACCAGCATCGAGACAAACGTCCGCTTCGCCTTAGAGAAGAGTTTTCTAGCGGTGAGGCCCCACCTCCCGGGAGGCCCTGAGGTTGGGCGGGAGGACGGCCCGGGCTCAAACGCCCTCTGCCCGCAGAACCAGAAGCCTACCTCAGAGGAGATCCTGCTGATTGCAGAGCAGCTGCACATGGAGAAGGAAGTGATCCGCGTCTGGTTCTGCAACCGGCGCCAGAAGGAGAAACGCATCAACCCCTGCAGCGCGGCCCCCATGCTGCCTAGCCCGGGCAAGCCGGCCAGCTACAGCCCCCATCTGGTACCAAGGGCTCCTCGGGGGGGTGAGGGGGGGCACAAAGCTCTGGCACCTCCCTCGCCCCTTGGCAGGCACCTTATACAAAGCACAACCTCCCTGGTTGTCCACAGTTCCTAGGACAGAGGACAGGCTTGGGGACAGGCTGTCACATGGGTGGAGCACAGTCACAGAGGGACACACAGTTTTCAGAGAACTGGTCTTACGTGGGGGATACAAGCACCCACAGACATAGCCAAACATAGAGTCATCACAGGACATAGCCACATGGGGACGGAGACCAAGTAGGGAATACAGGCCCCTCCCCTTCCCCCCCCCCCCCCCCCCCCGCAGTTCACAGCCACACAGACAGGGCAGGGACATCATTACATCCCTGGGTGTACACTTAGGTCTATAGCTCCACACAGACCTGCTCGGGATCAGACACGCTGGGACATCACTTTATTCCATCTAGTATGGAAAGGGCTATGACACTACAGAGGGCTCGGAGGAGTCCCTGTCCATGATGTGGAGGAAGGAGGGACCATCTGAGCTGACTCAAAAGGACAAAAGAGACTTGGTCAGCCACATGAAGGACAGGCAAAGGGACTGGTGTTCACAAAGGCCTGGAAGCCGGAGTGTGCCGAGCCCACTTTAAGGAACTCCAGTGCAGTTTAGTGTGGTTGGAGCTGGAGTGCAGGTGAACGAGTATGGGGGGCAGGGTGGGGGGTGGGCAGGGGCCAGACACCCAAGCTGCATGCTGAGGAGCTTGAACTTGACCCATGGGCAGCGAGGAGCTGAGGAGGAGTTTTGAGCTGGGGAGGGACAGTATCTCATTTAGAGTGGGGCTGATGGAAGGATGAGACTGGAGGCAGGGAGGCCAAGAAGGAGGCTGGTGGATGTTCCCAGAAAATGAAGCAATATGACATCTCAACACTCTGATGCAGAGACACAGTTTATCCTCATAATGCCTGCCCCCACACACACTTCAGACCTGCAGCTGGATAGTGTCAGAGGAGAGGTGGGGGAGCACGCTTGGTTGGGAAGTATTCCCTCCTGCTTGTGGCTCAGAATTGCCCAGGGTAAATGTGGAGAAGGATATGATGGAAAGCACCTGGCCTCATACAAACGTAGCATTGTACCCCAAGCCTTCTCACCATCCTAGGGGCAAGGGGAGGGAGTCGTTCCCAAAGGGAGCAGCATGGGGGCTGCTGGGAGACAGTGGCCTAACCATACCTTCTTTCCTCTCTCCCAGGTCACACCCCAAGGGGGCGCCGGGACCTTGCCATTGTCCCAAGCTTCCAGCAGTCTGAGCACAACAGGTCAGGGAGGGCAGAAGATGGGGAGGGGGTCCTGGAGACTCAGTGCAGGCCTGGAGCCTGGGGTTCTCAAGTGGTGCAGGGCACAGGGTGTCTGCGGGCCTCAGGACGGAGCCTGGGGATGAGGCGGCATGGGTCAGAGAGGAGAGGGCAGCCTTGCCCTCCTGGCCAGAGCAGCTCACTTTCATCTGTTCCACAATTTCATTTGAGAAAAGCTTGGGGTTGTTAATAGGCAATGTACTTGGGTTCTGTTCCCAGCATTTATAAACTGTGTGAACTCCAGAAGCAATTTTACCTCCCTGAGCCCCAGTTTTTATAAAATTGTTGTGAAATATAATACATACAGAAGCTATTTACATGATTATATACATGCACACACACACGCGCACACACACACACTTTTGTACCCAAAGCCCTCCTTTCCCCCTTCCCGGGACAGGGCGTGTTTAACACCATATACAAGAATAATATAAAACAACACCGTCTTGCCTCTCCCCAGGTTAAGGAATAATAAGTGGAGGGTTATAAAGTAGTAAGGGTGTGCCTGGCACTGTTCTAAACTCTTTATAAAGAGTATTACCTCATTTAATCCTCACACCCATTTTATGAGGTAGGTTTTGTTATTATCCTCATTTTCCAGATGAGGGAACTGAAGGCCAGAGAGGTGAAGGCACTGGCCCAAGGGCACAGCTGGGTCTGACAGAGGCATGAATTGCTGCCCTGGCTGTCTGGCCCAGCCGGGCTCTGAGCCCTCTCAAGCTTGGCGTGTGCAGCCGCACCCCCCTGCCTGGCCCCTAGAGGGAGCCATAGGGCTTTGTGTTCTGGGCACCCCCAGTTCTTCTCTATAAAAGGAGTCGGGTGGTGAGGTTCATGGTGGAGTACTCAGGGTGCCAGAGCACGCCCAGGCTCAGTGGGTGACAGTTGCTCTTACTGCGATTACTGTGATCGCTATCACTGTGGCAGAGGCAGAAAGAAATGGCTCTGGAAAGAGAGGGCGAGAGACCTAAGTCTGTTCTGACTGAGGAGATGCTGCGGGACTGGGCAGGGAAGACAAGCAGGAGGTTCCTCTGTGGAGGACAAGTGGAAGCTGAAGTCTCCATCTCTCTGTCTCTCTTTGGCAGTTACTACCTTATCCTCAGCTGTGGGGACGCTCCACCCCAGCCGGACAGCCGGAGGGGGTGGGGGTGGGGGCGGGGCCGCGCCCCCCCTCAATTCCATACCCTCTGTCACTCCCCCACCCCCGGCCACCACCAACAGCACAAATCCCAGCCCTCAAGGCAGCCACTCGGCTATCGGCTTGTCGGGCCTGAACCCCAGCACGGGGTAAGTGAGCAGCTGCAGGTGGGGAGGCTATGGGGAGAAACCGGGTGGCTGCTGCTTCTGGGGTGGGAGCTGCCCCCCAGTTCTGCCAATGAGTTCCCGCCCCTGCTAATGCCTCTGCTTTGCCTCTTGCAGAAGCACAATGGTGGGGTTGGGCTCCGGGCTGAGTCCAGCCCTCATGAGCAACAACCCTTTGGCCACCATCCAAGGTGCGTGCTGCCTCATGTCACTCTCATCGTCACCAACCCTGCCCTCTGGGGGCCTCGAGCCCCCCCATTGCTGCTCCAGCCATGCCATTCTGCCCCTGCTCACTGCATCGCTTGCCTCTTCATACCCATCTCACCTTGGGGGAAGGTGTGAGGGGTGCTGATGGGGGTCAGTGAGGCAGATGGGAAGACAGGGGCACTGAGGGTGGGATGCTGGAAGGTGCCCCCAGCCCAGCCTCCTCTCTCTCCCCGCCAGCCCTGGCCTCTGGTGGAACTCTGCCTCTTACCAGCCTTGATGGCAGCGGGAACCTGGTGCTGGGGGCGGCCAGCGCGGCCCCGGGGAGCCCCGGCCTGGTGACCTCGCCACTCTTCTTGAATCACGCTGGGCTGCCCCTGCTCAGTGCCCCGCCTGGCGTGGGCCTGGTCTCGGCAGCCGCTGCAGCTGTGGCGGCTTCCATCTCCAGCAAGTCTCCTGGCCTCTCCTCGTCCTCCTCCTCGTCCTCCTCCTCCTCCTCCACCTGCAGCGAGGTGGCAGCACAGACCCCTGGAGGCCCTGGGGGGCCTGAGGCAGGGTCCAAGTCCGAGTGAGGGCCCACCATGCCTCCCCTCCTACTCCTCTGACCCCCACCTCGGTACCCCGCCTGGAAAGAGGGCGAGGAAGCCAGCGGTGGGGGTGCAGAGGGTCCTTGGAGCAGGAGAGACAAGGGAGGAAAGACCAAAAAAAAAACCAACCAACCAAAAAAAAGAAAGAAAAGAAACCAACCAACAAAAAAGAAAACCAAAAATAATCACAACAGAAACCAGCTGCCCCAAAGGAACCAGAGGTGAAAAACAAACAAATATAAAAAACCAAAAACAAACAAAAAATCCCCCACAAAACCGAACAAACCAAAAACCAGTCGCGAGCCAGACCTCAGTGTGCTCACCCTCACCGCTACGACACCAAATAAGAACCCCAGCCAGGGGTGGAGAAGCCTGGCAGGGCGGACTCAAGCTGAGCCCCTGGCTGTGGGGCCAACCCCCAACCTTGCCTCCCCCAGTGGGGGCCAGAGAAGGAAAAAGAGAATGTGCCAGCCTTGCAGCCCCAGCCCCCAGCCCTGGGCCAGCGAGGACAGGGCACAGCCTGGGGCAGGTGGGGCGGGCTCAGAACCACCTGCCAAATGTTCTTTTCCAGAAGGTGAAAGAGAAAGGGCCTGAACAACCTTACACCAAATATTCAGTAGCTTCATCCAAAGGATGTACAGAATTTTTAGCGTTGCGCTCAACAGAATGTGTCCCTACCATGTGTCCCCCTCTCCCACGGCCCCCCGCTCTCCCCAGCTGGGTAGGGGGGTCTCACTGTAACCTCCTCCCTCCTCCAGCCAGGGGAGAGTTCAGGGGAAGGCTTGGGATGACTTTTCACCCCTTGTACCTCCCCCTCTTCCCTTTGAAGGGTGGGCTAGGCCGTTTTGCCAAGTTCTAGCTCTCATACGTCCCCCCTCAACCCCGTCACCCTCCTCTGCTCTGAAATCTGCCCCCTCCCCAGCCCACGGGAAGGTGGAAGTTTCAGACAAGAGGGGATGAGTTGAGGGCATTCAAATTGTCTTTTTTTCCATCCTCGTCTGTCAGTTTCCCTGAAAAAAAAAATTCATATTCCAGTGCCTATCCGTGGGATCCTTCACGTTCTTTGACATTGACCAGAAACCAAAAAGAGAACTCACCTCGCTCTTCCCACCCTGTGCCCCTCTGATACTGGCAGATGCCTCTTCCTCTCCCCCCACACACATGCACACACGCACGCACCCCAGTGGTGGGTTCCTCGAGATGGCTTCCCCATCAGGGTCCAGGTGGCGGGGACAGTGCCATGACCTGTGGTCCCCATCCGAGAGGGCGCTGTGGTGGCCACCACACCCATGAGACCTCCCTCGAGTCTTGGCTGGACCTTGTGTTTGCCCAGCCCTGGACACCTCTCGACGGACAGAGGAGAGACGCCGCTGGGAGCCACTTTGCCCTCCTGCTATTGTGGAGGCCAACAAAGTTTTGAACCAAAAAAAAACCAAACAAAAAACCAAACAAACAATAAATTAAAACTAGAAAAAAAAAGAATTTATAGATATATATATATTTAAGGGAAAGAAGATGAGGACTCTTCAAGAATAAGAAGGAGCCGCGAGGTGGAGCCAAGCCCCTGCACCAGTGGTCCAGGCCCTTGGTCCCCAAGGCGGATGGAAGGACGGATGCTTCTTTCTCTTCACAAATACCTCATGGACGTCGTCTTCGGGAAAGCCGGAGGGGGGTGGCTGGGGCAGGGCCTGTCCCTCAGCCAGGGTGGATGGAAGCGGGTGGGCAGGGCTGAGAGAGGGTGTCAGGGACAGGGGTGAAGAGCCCCAAGCTCCCCGCCCCCCAATCAACTGAAAAAGCTTTAAGAAAAAAAAAAAAAAGGAAAAAAAGGAATAAGAAAGCAAAAAGAATGGACAAAGGAAAACTAACAAATTTTCGGGTGGTTTGATTCCTCCTTTGATCTCTTTTTTCTGTTCTCTTCAGTCCACTCTCCCTTCTCTCTGCTCACCTCTCTCTGCCTCTCTCTCCCTCTTCCTTCGCTCCTCTCTCACCTGTCTCAATCTCGTTCTTTCTGTGTCTCTCCTCAAACCAAAGTGTTGCTGTGAAGGACGCGAGCCATTGAAATCAGAGCAGAGCCTGGCGGCAGCCGCAGACTGGCCCCTGTCCCTTGTTGGGCAGAGCAGAGGGAGGGGAGAGCCCCGGGAGACGGGCAGTGCTGCTGGACACTCCGAGGAGAGGCAGACAGAGCCTCGGATGCCACCCTGGGCCCCAAGGCTTCAGTGTTCTCTCTTTCTTTCTTGTCTCCCTTCTCCCACCCGGGAAAGGAAACTGTTGGGCTGGGCCACGGCGGCAGCAGAGACTCGGCTGTTGCAAGGGTTTCGGGGTGCCTTGTTGGGCAGCGGTGGAGTGGCCGCCCCTCCCACCCTGGCAGCGATGGGGCCTGGCATGCCTTCGACCCGTCCTCGCCGGAATGTAAGCATCTCCGCTGAACCGACTCCCTGCCCTGACCCTACCTCTGAGTTTGTCCATTTTTATTTCCTGAAGAGAAGGGACTGGTGAGAGGGCCTGGGCCCCAGTGCAGGGGTGGAGAGGGGGCCAAGGGCTCCTGACCAGATAGGAAGGACATTTGAGCAGAGCAAGGTGAAAGGAATTACAACCAAAAACCCCTCTGAGAAGACAGGCAGCATGGAAGGCATGGTGGAGATGACTCAAACAAAAACTGATTCTAGACCAAAAAAAAAAAAAAAAGAAAAAAAAAGAAAAAAAAAAGGAAAGAAAATCCAGGACTCACCACCACCCACTTCATCCTGCTTCCTCCCCATCAAATCCTGCCACCTGGGACCTCTCCCCGACCCCAGTGTTGGGGGAGTGGGGCAGAGAGGAGGGGAGGAAGCAGGGGGCAGGGATGGGGCCAATGCCCTGACATTGGTGGAGGGGCCCCTGTGCAGCCGGGGGTGGTGGGGACCCTCCCCATCCAACCCCCATAACTGGGAAAAGAAAGAAAAGAAAAAATGAATATTCCCTGGGAGAGGGAAAAATAACCAAATCCCAAGCTTTAACTACAGCTGTGAAACCAAATATTGGGAAGGGGGTGGGAGGGAAGGAGGGGCAAGTGTGCCCCAGGTCTCCCCCCTGGGCCCCCCTCCCCCGAGGACTCGAGATAAGGCACCAAATACCTCATAGAACTTTAATGTTAAAAAAAGGAAACCAAATATCGTTGGCTGGGGGCCAGCCAGGGCAAGGGGCTGGGGGGCTGGAGGGAGCCAGGGTTGGGAAGGTGACGGGGGAGTTCATGCCTCCCATCCCCCTCTGCCCCTTCCACTCCGGTCCCCCGTCTCGACTCCGGGAAACAAAACTATCTCATCGTTTTTATTTTGTGGTCTGTACAGAGCCTGTGTCCGTGTGTCTGTGTGTGAGCGAGAGAGTTGGGGGCTGGGGAACTTTATGTGGGGGATGGGGAGGGAGACCCCAGGCCAGGCTCTGGGCTAGGTGAGATGTCTGAAGTGGGTGGCCAGGGGCCTGGGCTAGAAAGAGAAGAAGATGAGTGGATTGGAGAAAAGGGGAGCCCTCTGAATTTCTCTTCTCCCCAACCTTGACTTGAGGACAGAGACTTGGTCTACCCTAATGGTGGGCCTTTTAATTGTGCCAAAAAAAAAAAAAAATGCTAGTGAAGGAAACATCTCTCTCTGTTCTCTTCTGGGAGGGTGGGGGCTAGAAGTAAGAGGGAGGGGCTGTGGGTAAAAGTAGGGGTGAGTAGAGATGGGGAACCCAAGCCCCTGTATGAGTTGGGGCTAAGGTCAGGAGGAGGGGAAGGATATGAGTTTCCCACACATCTCCTCCCTGGGGAAGGCCAAGAGAGGGTCTCCTAGCCTTGGGAAGATGGGGTAAGGGACTAGCACATAGGGGGTGACCTCTTGACCAGGCTAGATTTCCTCACCCACCCAAATCCCAGGGTACCTCTCTCTCCCTTTAGCCCAGGGTAGGGGGAACTGAATGAGAGAGAGAGTGAGACAGACTGAGCAAGACTGAGACACGCGGGCCCCCACTGGCCTCTGAGTGGGAAAGGCAAGTGCGAGAGATAAAGGCCTCCAAGAGAAAAAAGAAACAAACCAAAGATTTAACCATTAAAAAAAAAACCCACAGACAACTCCGCTACCTTTTTATACGTTGGAAAAAAAAGTGAAAAAAATTTAAAAATAAAAATTAAAAAAAAATACACAAAAACTCCAAGCCGCAGTTCCTTCATGCGGTTTGAACTTTGACCTCAGCAGTCTCCAAAGCAAGATGACGATGACAAAGGCGAGAAAAAAAAAAGAAAAAATAATGTATATTTTTAAGTATTTGTCCTTGAGATGTTAGCTCCTTGTTAAACAAACACAAAAAGGAGAGAAAAATCCAGAGAGAAGTGTTGCTGGGACGGAGACAACTATTTACTATGTCTGTGACCCCTCCCCTCTGCCTCCCCTTCCTCTCCTCTTTCCTTTCCTCTATCCCTGCTGCCCTTCCCCAGCCTGTCCTCTAAGCCCAGGGGCTCAGTATTTATTTATTTATATAATTGCAGGGTGACTGGGGGCCTCTCTCGACAACTTGTAGAGAGGGCCGTTGGATCATGGTGGGGTGGGGAAGCGGGGGAAAAGCAGGGGTCTGATCTCTGATCAACTCTCTGCTAGCTCCTTCTGGCTTCTTATCCCACTGCTGCCACCATCACCTCCCAAATTCAAGGCTGTACTCGGGCAAGGTGACCATCCCACCTTGTAAAGATCTGATTGGCTTGGCCCTTTCTGTGGTGGGTGTCTCCCACCTACTCATTTGAATGACCAGGTTGGCACCAGGATAGGAGGTGGCAAGTAGTGGGCAAAGGGAGACCAAGAAGTGGCATCCGGAAGTTGAGTAGGCCCTGGAGGAGACCTGCTTTTCCTCCATTCTCACCAAGTTAGCCCCCCTTTCAGTTCTGTCTGACCCCTGTGTTGGTAGCCCCTCCCTTCCCATCCTGTACCCCCTCCCTGTCTCTTCTCGTGGTAGCGGGTTAGCGTTTCAGTGTTCTTAACTCCAATCTGCTTGTTCATTGTACAATGTGCTTCTTTTAAGGCCCCATTTTTGTAACTTGAGTGTGTCATTCATCTGAACAACATCCAAAAATAAAAAATTAAAAACTGTACAGAGAGAAATGCTGCCTGCTCTCCTTTGGTCTCCTCTCTGTCCTGGGAAGGGTGGTGGGGAAGTCAGGGTATGGGGTGGGTATGCATGTGCTGGGGAGGGGAAGGCTTTACTTCTGTTCAAACAGTGAATGTTCAGAAGTAAGGCCTGAGCAATTTTTTTTGCCAATCAGAAAACCAAGTCTCAGGGGGCCAGCCCAGTGGCCCAGCGGTTAAGTTCACACGTTCCGCTTCGGCAGCCCAGCTGGTTGTTCGGATCCCGGGTGCGGACCTACACACTGCTTGTCAGGCCGTGCTGTGGCAGGCATCCCGCATATAAAGTAGAGGAAGATGGGCACAGATGTTAGCTCAGGGCCAGTCTTCCTCAGCAAAAAGAGGAGGATTGGTGGCAGATGTTAGCTCAGGGCTAATCTTCCAAAATAAAAACAAAAAAAAGGAAAACCAAGTCTCAGAATTTAGGATGATTTCAAATCTCAGTTCTGCCATTTTATAGACATGTGGCGCTTGATCTGTGAGCTTCAGTGTCCTCATCTGTCAGAGAGACAATATCCACCCTGTGGGCTTATAAGAATTAAATGAGATGATATAAGTGCTTAGGACAGATCTCCAGCACAGTCTTCAATAAATGAGAAAGCCAGGAAAGCCATGAGTACTTCCCCACTGCCATCCCCAGAGGACTAACAAGACCCTTTAAAAACAGAGTTGACTCTGAACTTGTCTGGTGGTACAAGGTACACACCTCCCTTCTTTTTTCAGAGCGACATTAACTCTCTTTCACTCAAATTTTTGTGCCCATCTTGACTAAGTCATTTGGCAGGAACAACATCTTCACAGGTCAGGCCGTGGGCTGATGCCCAAGACCTCACAACTGAAAATCAGAAATGCTGTCAACAACTGGACTTCCTCATTGCCATCAGGTCGCCTTGTCATTGTTCCATTCTCTGATGTATGCCTAGCACACAGGTACTAGGATTCTGCACATTCAGTAGTGAGGGACAGAACAGGAGAAAGGAAAAGTGGAAGAGTGGTTTGATCATTTAGAAAGATAAAAAGTATTAGCACTTCAGGGGCCAGCCCGGTGGCACAGCGGTTAAGCGCGCGCATTCTGCTTTGGCAGCCCAGGGTTCGCCAGTTTGGATCGCGGGTGTGGACATGACACCAATTGACAAGCCATGCTGTGGTAGGCCTCCCACATATAAAGTAGAGGAAGACGGGCACAGATGTTAGCTCAGGGCCTGCCTTCCTCAGCAAAAAAAGAGGAGGATTGGCAGTAGATGTTAGCTCAGGGCTAGTTTTCAAAAAAAAAAAAACCATTAGCACTTCATTGTTTTGGCAAGAATGAAAGAAAAAAAAGCACCTCTGCAACTCTCAAGACGAGTCAGTAGGGATGGGGGAATGGGATGCTGGGATGGAGGAACACAATAGTACCCTGAGGAAGGTCATTTGGGCCAGCCCCCTGCCTGCAGGGCGGTACAGTCAGACCAATACAGACCCAAAAGCTCCTTGCCATTCAGGCCATCCTGTGATAACCACGGATGGCACAGAGTGCACTGAGCTGAACTAGGCATCCGCCTGTACCCCCATGAATGTGCCTAACTGGTCCACATGCCCTCCCGTGTACAAAGTTGAGCCTCCTCTTGTCAAGGACATATCGGGCACTAGAGGACCATTCTGTCCCCTTGACAGTTCTGCTTACACAGCTTCCATATCCAACTAAAAAACAAGCAATGCAAGGCTCTTCTTAGAGAGGTCTGCAAGTCACCTGCGTAAGAATTGCTCTCTTCAAATCAGATTCCTGGGTCTCACCCAGACCGGTTGCTGGATCCAAATCTCTGGGGGAGCGCCTGGCACACAAAGTTTTGTGAACCTTGCTTGTCCAACTCAAACCCCGACATCCGACAAGGGTCTGATCAGTGCCATCTGTTTTAGGATAGTGGTTCAACTGAGGACCATGGAAGTTTTAGTGGGGTGATGGTGAACAGTGAGTTTTGTTCATAAATGTTTTTGCACACAAACTTTTCTCAGGTGGAAATTTTCACGAGGGGCATTAAAAAGGAACAATAATGGATGGTCACTCCACTGTCACAGAGCCACTCTTCTCTGCTGAAAGCAATTTTATCTTGGAGTCAACCAGCAACTTTGTTTCTCTCCATTCCCATCCCTTTGATTCAGCCTGATTTTTATTTAGTTTTTGCAGTTGGATAAATCCTCTAACTGTTCCAAGCACTTACTTGATATGACTTTTAGGATGTTACAGCTCTTCTTGAGAGGAGGCAGTTTGAGAATGAATCTTTACCTGCAGATTAAGGGGGTCTGGCATGCTAGGCTGAGACAACTTGAGTCCTTTCTGCAGGGTATAAGGTTACTGAAAGATGGTGCCCATGATCAACATACTCTGGTTAGAAACAACTGCTTAACAGATAACTGCTCTTTATTAGGAGCTGTCAGGATATAAGGTGGGTGAGTGCTTTTTCTTTTTAAAAATAACTAAAATAAGTATAATGTAGTAAAATTTCTATTAATGGAGTTAGAAGACCTGGTTTCTAGCCCTGACTCGACCACCTATGTGGCCTCAATAGGTCTCTTCCCTCTCTCAGCCCTCATTTTCTCACCTGAGCAACATGCTAAACCACTCTGCTTTTAGAACCCCAGTGCCCACAGAGGGCTGCAGGACTGCTGAAGGGAGTGGAGAGTAATGGAGAGGCTCAATGGGCTGCTCTTGGGCATCCCTTTCCCCTGGTTTCAATACAAACAGCTTTCCTTTTACCTCTCGTTAGGGGTTCCAAATAAGAACTTTCTCCAACAAAGACGAGTAATCTGGGGGGAGGCTCATTCTTCTTGGGGTGTGACTCTTAGAGATAAGACTAACACAGCAACTGAACATTCCCACCAGTCACACACTCACCATCTCCTTTCCCCCCACTGCCCTCTTCCCACTATGTAGAAGGCAGCAGAGTGTAGATGAAAGCATATAGGTGATTAAACCAAGTGAAATTAGGCTTAAATTCAAGCTCTGCCCTATTTAGGTTGAATGACCTTGAGCAAGTCACCTCATTGCTTTCAACTTCAGATTCCTTCCTTGCAAAATGTTCTCACAGGACCAGCGTGAAGATTATTCCAAAAAATTTAAGAAAGCACTTGAGACAAACTAGACATTCAAATATCAGCCAGCCACTCCAACCACCCCTCCCTACAACAAACATCTGTTGGCTGAGCCAGAGTCCAACTCCAGGTGGGAGTCAAGGAACCTCCCCTTATGAGGCTTCCTACCTCTAGCCAACCATTACTCAGAATCTTCTCCAACCCCACAGCTGGGTCTGGTCCCAGGAGCCACCCTCCTCCACTGCCCTGGAGATCATGCCTTTCCCAGACCTGCATATGCCCTCAGAGATCCAGAGTGGGAAAACCAGATGGCCTTGGGGGAGATGGCTCACATCAGGCCAGGAAGTGGGGACACAGAGATGGTGAGAAGAATCTGAAGATTTTCCCAAATGTTCCTGCTACCAGTAGAAACAGCTTCGGGCTTTTCTATGGGATTGTGGAGACCTCTAGTGGCAAGAGAGCCATGCTGTCTCCACCTAGCACCAGAGTGAAGGCCCCACTCCCTGAGCCACGCCCACGGACTCCCCATCCTCCTCTTCAATTCAGCAAGTGTTTACTGAACCCCTTCTACTTGCCAGGCCATTCTGGACATTGGGAATGAAGCCACGAAAAGTCAGACCTGGGCTCATGGCTCCCAAATTCCACCCCACACAGCCGGGCCAGACAAAAGCACATAAACGTCCAACTCAGTCTTTATTGACTGTTTCACCGTGTAGCCACCAATGCTAACAGACGGAAGGGAGCGCACCTTTATGCATATCAAGGACTCTACAGCCCCCCTCAGGAGAAAGACCAAATTCAGTTACAGAACTTACGTGGTGATTGGGAGGGGTGAAAGAAGGGGACAGTATGTACAGAAATTTAAGGGGATACTGGAGGACGTTCTTCAGCAACAGAGCATGGCAGTGCTGAAGAGGGCAATGGGGCAGGGTCAGCCACTGATCTGGACCCCCTCCGCCTCAGCCAGAGGGTAGATCTCAATGGCCTCCACCAAGGGCAGTGCCTCCACTGCAGTCTCCATCACAGCCAAGCCTACAGCAGCCTCCGCTTCTGCCAGCTGCTGCCGCACAGCTGCCTGATGCTGCTGCTGGTGGGTCTTGCGGTGCTTCCATAGGTTGGAGAAGGAACGGTAGCTCTTGCCACAGTCGGGGCAGGAGTAGGGCCGTTCACCTGTGTGAATGCGGCGATGTTCTGCCAGACGCATGGAGATAGCAAAGGCCTTGCCACACACTTCACAGGCAAAGGGCCGCTCACCTGTGTGCAGGCGCCGGTGGTCCTTCAGGTGGGTACTCTGACGGAAGGCCTTGCCACAGTCTGGACACGGGTATGGCCGCTCGCCTGTGTGGATGCGCCGGTGTACCTGCAGTGATGTCTCTGTGCTGAATAGCTTCTTGCACTCACTGCACTCCAGGCCCCGGCGTCGGGCAGGGGCTGCAGGGGCCGCAGTAGCAGTGCCTCCAAGGGTTGTTGGGGAGACAACTGGGGTGCGAGTGGCCCTTGGGGCCCTAGGGGCTGGGGGCTCCTTAGCCAGGACCTCTCCAGGCCCTGCAGCTGCATGGGCTGCCTCATGTGCTTGCAGCCGAGCAGCAGAGCCTACTTTCTTGCCACAGGTGCCACACTCAAAGCGCCGTGGGGCCTGGGCAGCAGCAGCTGCACAGCGGTGCTCGCGGAGCCGCAGTGAGGAAGGGAAGGCAGCCCCACAGGATGAGCAGCGGTGGGGCTGGCGCCCAGCATGGGCCACAAGCTGGTGCACCTCCAGCAGTCGGCGCAGCAGGAAAGAGCGGGGACACTCGCGACACTTATAGGGGTACTCGCCTGTGTGGTGGTAGCGGTGCATGAGCAGGCGGTAGGGGCGATGAAAACGCACTCCGCACTCCTGGCAGCGATAGGGGAAGTGCTG